TACAACTGGGGGACAGTTCTACAAATGTGTGTTAGCAATTGACAGGTTTTAAACTGTATATAAATGAACATTATAATAATAATTTTAGGGCCGGCCCATGGCTCACTCGGTAGAGTGCGGTGCTGATAACACCAAGGCCCTGGGTTCGGATCCCACATAGGGATAGCCGGTTCGCTCACTGGCTGAGCGTGGTGCTGACAACACCAAGTCAAGGGTTAAGACCCCCTTACCGGTCATCTTTTTAAAAAAAAAAAAGATAATAATAATTTTAAAAGCACCAACTAAAAGCATTTTCCTGCCTTCCCTCCTGTGCTGAGTCACTTCTCAGTCACCAGCAGCCCAGCTCAGGGCAGTCTCCCAGATTCCCTGTCCCCTGGAAATAAACCTCCAATCACTATAGTGCACAGATCCCACCATATTTATAGGAAACACTGTGACCACACCATGGCCATTGTCCTGCTCAGCCCATCAATATGAATTTGAGGCAGCATTGGTGGGGCCCGCCAAGATGAGCACCACAAAACAGCTCTAGACAAGGAAAGGAATCCAGAAACCCAAAGGGGGAGTCTTCATTTTTCACTGAGATTAAAAGCATCCCCGCCCCAGGAGGCAAGTGGTGAAAGGCTGCCGACGTTCATCAGACCAAGCAGGCAAGGTCAGTTCTGATTATTCCTGGGCAGTTGAGTTCACTGATTTTGGTGGCTCGTGGCCAGGATTGCATAACATAGAGGCCCAAGAGGCTACAGATGACCAGAAGGGGCCCCACACCTCCTGCCTCATCGCGATGCTCAGATTCCCTGCCAGTCAGCATTTGCTGTTGCCCTTGGTGGACCCATTGCAGGGGAGGGGTTTGGGGAGCGCCCTCCAGAGAGGAGAGGAGATTCTTTCCCTAACTAAGCCACTGCCAAATGCCATTACCTTGGCGGAAGGTGCTTTGTGAGACCTTGACTCCAGCAGCCAAGAGGCCAGGAGATGGCAGCAGAGGACACAGCCTGGGACACAAAACCTGAGCCATCTTGCAAAAAAAGCAGATACAGAAATGGAAGAGAATTTATTTGGGAAATATCATCAGTTGTCTATAATCATGTATGCAAAGCCAGAGTGAATGACTGAACTTCAAAGAAACAAGGGTAAAAACTCATCAGGATGGAGAATTTCCCAACTATCACAGAATTCAGTCGCATATAAAGCCCACGTATCATGAACTGGCTATTTCACCAATGCTAAAGCAAGAAATAGGGGTCAGGGCCTTTAAGAACTGATGTAGGCAGGAACTTTGCCACAGTTCTTTCTTTCTGTGAAGTTCCAATTCAAATAAAATAAGTGACCTCCACAGAGGCTGCAAACTGATGAAGAAAGGGGCAGATACAGCAGTTGCTGGAAAGCAGTTACAGCAAAGCAGAATGCTATCATGGAGCAGTCCATGTGGAATGGAGAATAATGAGGAACACAGGACAAGTTGCAGTCTTTGCTTGCAGCTGGCAGAGGCTAATGCACAGGAAAGGAGCATTAGTAACATTCGGACTAAATCCCAGATCTTATGATTTCTCATCTAATGCTCCTTCCTTTATATATTCCCTCACCCCCTCCCCAGCTGTGACTATCAAAAATGTCTCCAGACATTACAAAATGTCTTCTGGGGGGCTAAATGACCCCTCCCTGAGAACCCGTACCCTAGACAGATATGATAAAAAATGGTTTTAAGAACTTAATGTTTAATCTCTCCAACACTCTTGTATTTCTTAAGGTGTACACGAACTGCATTGTACAACCAAAACCTGAATTCCTACTATATGTTTGTATAATGCTGAGGCTGACAATTGAAGAACTATAGGCTGAATCTGACTCTTGATTTTTAAAAAATTAGTTATCAATATTTTAAAATCAGAAGACTTCACATTTAAAAAGTCAGAATTTCTGGGCCGACCCCGTGGTGCATTCGGGAGAGTGCGGCGCTGGGAGCCCAGCGACGTTCCCGCCGCGGGTTTGGATCCTATATAGGAATGGCCGGTGCGCTCACTGGCTGAGCGCGGTGCGGGCAACACCACACTAAGGGTTGCGATCCCCTTACCGGTCACGAAAAAGACAAAAAAAAATAAAAATAAAAAAAAGTCAGAATTTCTGACTTCCATAGGAAAATTAAAGCTATGGCATTACCAGGTCCACATCTCACATGGCAAGAAATGGGTGTTGAGTAGGGGTAAAGTCTTTAAATAGAATATGTGTTCTCTAGTTTGCCACAGTTCCCACCACTCCCTATTACCTCAAACCCAACTTGCTTCACTCATTTAAACCAATCCTTGCTTCTAATAGGCAACTTATTTTCAACCCCTATAGTGCTTTTGTTTTAAATTACTTTTCCATACGCGATTTTATTTTAGCCTTGATACTCTAGTAACATAGAGGTAAATATTATGATTATAACCTCCATGTGAACAAAATGTAGTTCAGAGAGGTTTGACTTATCCAAGCAACAGAATCGAATTTAGATTTCCTGACTCCCAATCCTATTATATTTTGAGGAAAATTTCTATTAAGAACTTCACTTAGGGGTTCATGGAACCAAACCAAAGCAGCAGATATGGGCATAACTGCTGGAACAGATGAGTTCCAACAGCTAAGCTGTTTGAGAATCATCTCAAATGATTAACCCTTTTTGTTTTATGTATTTATTATGAATATTCATGAGATACAAATTACCAGAAAGTGTCCCCACCCAGTTATCCCCCAACCTCCCCCCCTCCACCTCCCCCCCACTCAGCTTTGCAGCCCTAGGAATGTTCTCTCCCTCTGTAAGACCACCGTACTACTGTGGTCTTTCTTTCCTTCTTTCTCTCTTAGCTCCCAGATATGAGTGAGCACATGCGGTATTTATCCCTGTGTTTTGCTTATTTCACTCAACATAAATTTCTCAAGATTCATCCATGTCGTTGCAGATTAATCCTTTTTCTTTTAATGAAGTTAGTTCTGCTTCCCCTCTCCTTCCAGTCATAGGAAAAGATTGCCCTTTTTGCCTCCTCAAAGTTTGGTGTGGCTGTATGACTAGCTTTGGCCAATGTACTGTGTGTGGAAGTGACATGTATCTCTTCCTGGCAGAAGCATTTAAGAGCTCATGAACAATTCCTCATGCTTACTTCACATTCGGGGGGCGGGGTAACCCTAAGCCTCAGGGTGACCACTGTAGGATCTCAAAATGGGGGAGCTCTATCAGCTTGGGTACTGCGAGGTCACTGAGCTTCTCTAAGAACTAGAATATTACCTAAATGTCTGATCACATCACTAAAAGCTGGAAAATAGAGCAAATTGTTGATTCCACCTCCCTCTCCACCACCTTCTGACTTTGAAGAAAATTATTCTTTTCTCAGAGCCCTTCACACGTGAGATTTCTGGCAGTAAGATTGGAGGGAGGAAGAAAAGCGGGCGGCCCAGACCTTGTTTTCTCCATTCCATGGCCTGTTCCTAGAACTGTCCCCCTCCCCCCCAGTAGTTACACTTCACCTTGTCATAGGGTGATTATTACCACTCCCAAAGTGTCGCAAACAGAAAGGAGCTGCAGCTGGCGCCACTGCAATGTCAAGGCAAGGCAGCCAGGCTGCGCTCTATCTTTCATTAGTGACGGCTTGGCTAAGCCTGGAGAAGCAGCATTCTCTAGGGAAAGAAGCCTTCTCAAGTGGGAACAAAAATGAGGGTGAGGCGAACACCCATCCTGGGCACTATGTGAATTTGGGGTGAGTTCTCTTAGTACTCCAGCTCCGGTCAATTTCTATTTTCTAGCGGCTAGTAAGCTGCCCGGCTGGTGCTACTGGGACTCCCAGTTTTCCTGGGCTTTTCCCAAGCCCACCTGAGCTTGTCATCTTTGCACACTTGCAAAGGTGATAAACGGTGGGGGTTGAGCGCAACCAGAGCTTCACCAACCCGACCGCGGCTTGGATCAAAGGTCGGCGGGGCTGCAAAGAGGCCGAGCCTGCGCAGTTCCGCTCCCGCCTTGGAGAGAAAGGGTGGTGGCAACGCGGGCTTCTTACACCCGCGTGCTTGCAAGAGGCGGGAAAGTCTTAGGTCGGGTCGCCGCGTCCCTCCCTCGGCCTGCCCCGTCCACCCGCCTTCCCGGCGGGCCCGTCCTCCCGGGCGCCCAGCCTCCAAGGGTGGGGGACGAAAAAGGCCTCGCGCTTCTGACTCATCATCTCCAACCCCTTTCTCGCGCGCGCTCCAAGTCTCAGGACTTTGGACCTGGGCACTCGTGCAAGGGGGCGCGGCGACAGCATCTGGGAAAGCCCAGCTCTGCTTAGTGCTAGTCGCCAGCCGTCGCCGGGCTCCAAAGCTGCCAGAGCGAGGGATGTGGACCCAGAGTCAGCTCTCAGTGGCTGCGGCTGGGGTGGCGGCGCCCCCACTCAGGATGGCCCGCCCGGCTCCTCCCCGTACGCGGAGCCAGTGGTCGCGCCCGAGGAAACTCTCGGCTAGGCCCCGGCTTCCAGCGCCTCGCGTCACTCAGCAGAGGCACAGCGCCCCCACCCCGGAGGGAAGGCTCTTTATTTCCCAGCAGGTCATGGGGTAGCGGAGCATCCTGGGACATGTAGTCTCCGCTAGAGTAGAAAGGAACAGGATCGAAGGGAGAACTGGATTCAGAGAGTTAGCGTGTGCCGGAACGAGGGCTTGGATTGGATGGGGTTGTGAATGGCGGACAGAAGACAACAGTGAGATGAGGCAGATGCGAAGCTGTACGGGGAGGCGGTGGGCAAGGAGGGTAAGGATGGAAAGGAGGAAGCAGCTTTTCAGGACGGTGAGGCGAGGAAGGACTTTGGTCCAGGTATATCTTACCCTATCGGGGAAGGCAAAAGAGAAGGGCCTGCTCTGAGTGAAAACTGAAGGCACCCCACCGGATTTCATGTAGGTCTCAAGGGAGTCCGCTGGCTTGCGTTCTGCGGGGCAGGATGCAGGGGCGTCTGGAGAGCGCTCTCTCAGGGTAGAAGGAGAGCAGCCCCTATCTGCTTTCCTTTGCCTGCTCACTCATTCGTTCCGTTTCCTGTGCTGGCCACCTTGGGACCATTCTCCAAACCAAGAACCTCCTCCAACTCAGAGAAGCCCTGAAAACCAGACAGAGGTGTGAGCAAATTATAGGGGTGAGAAAGGAAATACCCCAGACAGAAGCAGCTTCTTCCTCCTCCTGCACCGTTCATCTTGTTTCCCATAGCCCCTCCAATATTTAGGCAGATTCCTAATGCTGTCTCACTTCTCTATCCTCAATCATTTAGAGACTCAATTCCCTCTTACCCACCACTAGGAGAGAAATGTCCAAAGCCAGAAAGCCAGTCATTTTCAGTCTAGGACCCCTTCATTTCCCTCCTGCCCCATTGTTTCCCCTTAAGTGCTACTGACTAGGATAGCCGGCAGAAAAATAAGCTGACAGCCAGCTGCTGCATGCTTTCTTTTCTGCCCTCAATACCTCCTGAAGTTCCTGGTAGTGCAGACTCTGGCTCCTGCAGCATCCTGGCTTCCTCTGGCTCAGCAGGAATAGGGCAAATGCTGAGACTAGCACTCCCCCTAGGGTGAAGGCTTCAGCACTGAGCTCCATCACCAGCAAGCCAGCCAGCTGCAGGTAGACAGGACTGAAGATGCTGCAGAGATCTAGTACCTCTGTACCCCTGCCCTTTGTCCTCTCCATCTCCTCTTGCCGCCTCATCCTTCCACCTTCTCCTTCAGCAAGCCAGCCAGCTGCAGGTAGACAGGACTGAAGATGCTGCAGAGATCTAGTACCCCTGTACCCCTGCCCTTTGTCCTCTCCATCTCCTCTTGCCGCCTCATCCTTCCACCTTCTCCTTCATTCACCAGTACCTGTGAGGGGGGCAGTTGGGGCAGGCCCCAAGGCTGTTTTCATCATCTCGACCACCGCCACGATGAAGCCCAAGATCATGTTGAAGATGTTGAATATCATCATGGCCTGCACCTGCCAATGAGCCAGCTCAGCCCTGCCCAGGCTAGGGGACTCATTCCAACCTCAAGTTCCATCTGCAACCTAGCTGAAAACATAACTCAGCTCCTGGTTTCCACCTCCAAACAGGGTCATCAGCCCTCTAAATTTCTTGCTCTCTGTTTTCAGTCTTTTAGGCCAGTCAGAGGCAGACAGCTGAGAGAATTAGTCAACCCTTAGAAAGCTACTTACTTCCTGTTCAGAGGGTGTGTGTGTGTGTGTTGCATTCTCTTCCCCTCTCACCTTCCACAGGCGGGGTGATCTGCGAAGCTCTAGTGTGACAGTCCCAGTGAGGAGACCCTGAATGGCGAGAAGGGCAAATGTTGAGCTCTGACCGCATTAGGCAGGGGCCCCCAGGATCTTCCTTCCACCCTCTCTTGTGGTGGGTCTTACTAAGGCTCCAGGCCCAAGTGGCAGGGCTGTGGCCAGGCAACAAGCAGAGTTCAGGCAGGCTACTGAGATGGCAAAGGGCACCACAGCCATTGACAGCCATAGCTGGCTCACCTAGGGACCAAAGCAGGTTTAGCTGAGGGGGAACTGTCAGGGCCAATGCCTCTTCTAGAGATCAGCAATTGGGATGAATGCATGGTGAAGGAAAGTAGTCAAGTAAGGGCAGTGGAGGAGGTGATAATTAAAAATTCAATCTCAGGCTGGCCCGTGGCACGCTTGGGAGAGTGTGGTGCTGATGGCACCAAGGCCATGGGTTCGGATCCCTATATAGGTATGGCTGGTTGGCTCACTTGGGAGAGCGTGGTGCTGACAACACCAAGTCAAGCGTTAAGATCCCCTTACCGGTCATCTTTAAAAAAAAAAAAAAATTCAATCTCATTTAATTTTTTCTGTCTCATGTAGTTAATTTCTTACCTGTATGTTTTCCCCACATGATAGAAACTACTTGGAGATTGAGGGTCTTGCCTTGTTTATTTCCGTTTCCTCCACCCTCCTCCCAGTCAGAGCCTAACTCAGTTTCTGGCACATGGTAGATGCTCACTAAACATGGATAGATTTGAATTGGGTGCACTTGGACATGCCGAGACCTGGGGTAGGGCAGCCTAGCCTCACCGCCAGCACCAAGAGTTGCCCACTCTTCCGGTGTTTCACCCAGTGCTGGAGCTTTTCCAGATGAAGGTTGGGTCTTCCCTGCTGTTGCTGACCAGCTCTCTCATCCATGGCTCCCTTGATCACAATAGCTGTGGCCTTCCAAGGCTGGGAAAAACGCATTATGGGGCCTGTCTGTTAGGAGACAGTACATGTGACAACATCTCTTTCAGCTCCCCCTCTGCCCACAACTGATATCCAGGGAGTTGAGGCATAGTACCTCTCACACCTACCTAGTCTGAAGCAGCTACTCCAAAGGCGTGGGACCCAGCTCGGTCCTAGGACTCTTAAAGGGTTTGGTAGCTCTGACTAATGACAAATTTGTTCTGGCAGAGAAAGGTTGTCAGGGCTGGGGTGTGGTGGGGCAAAGGTCCCTGTGAGGGCCTAAGGAGTGGCTCTGGGTAGACACCAGCCTTATTCATGTTGCCCAGCCCTACCTCACTCTGTTTCCATTTCCCATTGCCCCACTGCCCATCCTGGGTTACTCTTCTGGGTTCACTTACCTCATCCCCATGGACACTATCACCTTGTACCTCAGTTTCCCCTTATTTTTTATCTAATCTTTCTTCTTTTGGTTTTCTCCTCAAACTACTTGCTCTTCTCTAGTAAGAGCCCACTTTACTGTCTGTATTAATCTCCTGTCATTACTGTTTGTAACTTTATTCCCAGGTAAGTTTAATTCCCTTGGATTTCTTGTCTCTCCCTTTCTGGACAGTTTCTTGTCTCTCCTTCCTTTTTTGAAGGATTTACTCTGAATTGGACACTGACTAAGTGGATGGGGAGCCCTGTTTATAGTGGAGATTATTTTGACTCAGTGATAACCTGCAGCTAGACATATATAGAAGATGGTCCCCAAATGGTCAGTCCTGAGAAGGATACTATTGAAACAAAGTTTTTGAAAGAGAATGTGCCTTGCAGCCAGGCAGATTTGTGCTAGAATCTAAGCTCTGCTGCTTTACCAGCTTTGTGACCATGGATACATTATTCTACCCGCTTGAACCTCAGTTTGCTAATAAAAGGGGGCTAACTATGTTGATGAAAGGTTGTTGATTCAGGGTGGGTGCTTAATAACCATTAGTGGTGCTGATGAGGTCATACTGGTGTGCCTAATGCCCATATACTAAAGGGCTTATTCAGAAGCTAAGATGAGGACATTTATTTCTACAATAAGAAGCAGAACCAGCTGGGCCCAAATATATACTCTATAGATCAAAGATAGAAAAGGCCCATCTTAGTGCAGAGCCTGAGGTCTGGAGGCAACCAGACCTATGTTCAAATCCCAGATCTAGCTGCATGATCTTGGGCAAATTGCTTAATCTTCCTGTTTCCTTATCTATAAAGGGAAGTTAATAATACCAATCTCAAGGGGTTGCCTTGAGCATTCAAAGAGAAAATGCAGATGAGCCAGTTTAGCCCAGCACCTGGCACATTAAGTGCTCAACAAATATTAGTGACTAGTATTATTATTATTTACTGATGCTAGAGGAAGACTGAACCAGAAGACCCCTGGGAGTTAGTACCAGGAGGTAGGGTCCTGGTAGAACCTGATCTTCTTTATAAGCCACTGCTGCTCAGTGCTGGGCCAACATCTTTGGTGCGTTGTATACACTCATTTCTTTCTTGGGGAGTGGGAATATTTTAAAGAGATCCAGGGAACTGCTATGTGTCTATTCCTCTCTCTGCAATCCCCATGTGCATTAATTTTTTTGGTGGTGATGTGAGTTGTTGGGCTTGCACCGAGGATCCATGAGCTTGCAGGCTCGTAGGGAAAGAGACTTCTTGAGCCTCGTTTTCCTTACCTTTAAATGGGACTAATTATATTACAAAGGGTTACTGTAAGGATTACATACTATCAAATACGTGAACAGGCATTCAGTAAATATTAACAAAATCTGAGTATACTACTTATAAGTTTGTAGTCCCTGTCTAGACTACCATCTCCTGGAGGGAAGGTACCACCTCCCACTCCTCTGTGCATCCCCCACAGCGCTGAGCACAGAGCCTGGTACTTAGTAAGCACTCAGTAAATATTTGTTGTATTGAAGAGCCATTAAAGTGACTTGAGGAATGAAAATAGAATTCGAGAGGAAGGAGCGGGAATTGTTTATCAAGAACAGAAAGGACCTTAGAGTAACTTTAATAATGTTTCTTGTACGGCAGACATTAACTATCTCTCTAATCGCCCCTCCTCCTCCCCCCAAAGAGAGACAGAAATTGTAAGGGAGAGGCTTTGAGATAAAACCCCAGGAAGAACTTCTCGAGTCTGTGCATGTTGGGGCAGAGAGAACAGCAGAGCCAACTCCTTCCCTGGTATGTCCGGGTTTAGGGTGGGAGGGGCAGTCCTGCTTGGAGGCTGGGGGAAGGACGAGATGACCTTTCAAAATCTCTTCCAGTCTCCTGTTGGAATCGTCTGTGCGCCCCACCCCCGCTCCCTCCTTTCCTCCCTCCGACAGCGCCCCCCGTCTCCAAACTGCCCGCACCCCGCCCCTGGCGGCCGCCTCTCGCGGCTCCCGGGGTCCCCAGCTCCCTGTCCCCGGAGCCAGAGCCCCGCTCCCGCGCAGCTCTAAGCCCCGCCGCGCCGCCCCCCGCATGCTAATGGCCGGGCCGCCTCCCGCCGCACACAATGCGG